CTTTGAGAAGCAGAACCAAAGAGGAGAAGGACAACAAAGGCTGGGCAACCTTTTATAGATTTCTCCCTCAAATAGGGCTTGGTCGATAGCGTCGTCTTTTCTAGATTTTTGTGCGTAGAGAAGTATATATACAATTAATTGCTTCCTTTTTCTTCTTGGCCCATATTCTACTAGGGCTTTTGAAACTTTTGGGCATGGTATGCTACTAGCCCACAACTTGAAAACAGCCCAGTTCTCTTTCCTCTTTTTTTTTTTCTCTCGCAATCTGCTCAACCTTCTTCTATCAAACCCATGCATTCAAATTGGAAATCTGTCTTGAAATTAATTAAATTGGGTTGAGCTCCTAAAAGATAAATTGTATCTTTGCTTCTTAGGCTTTTAATGTTTCAAGAATCACTTCAATCTGATATCTAAAGAGAAAAATATGATTAAATTACTATAATATGTGCAAACTATCATTTGTTGAAAAATTAATTCCTATTAAATTTATTCTTTAATCTTCACCTACAAAATACTAAGATAAATATAAATTTAGGTGAGACAAAGTTATAAAATATCGATAAAATTAATTTCCAACATAAAAAGAAGGGTAGATAATTGTCTAAAAATTAAACTCATCAAGATCAACCACTAAATTAAGCCAAAATTTTAGTAACAATTGTAAAACTTTACTTTGGGAAAAAAAAAAAAAAAGAAAACAAAACAACTACACGTCATCTCTCAACAGTGTCTGTGCACGCTAGAATCACACGTGTGCTTCGTGACAATATTTCTCGCGCGTGTTCGGGAGATAGGGACTCGATCGCTTGCTTGCTTCCCTCGCCCTCAGATGCCGTCATCGACATTCTTCAGGTTACAGAATCGCCGTTAATATTCTATTCCCTTTACTGCACTTCCATCTCATATCGGTATCATCTGCTGAATTTCTTTTCCTGTTTTGTTTTCGTGATTTCGTTCCATTTGGTTCTAGAGAAGACCCAGGAAATTGAAAGAATAACAGTCTTGTTCATGTTTTTGTATTTCATTGTCATTCTTAATTTCTCTTGATTTTTGGTAATGGGAACGGAGGGTTTCGTTCAACTGAAGATTTTTGGTTCAAAGTTTGGTTTTTATTTTTTTATCTTTATTTTTATTTTTTTTATTTTTTTGTTTTCCTGAACTTTTTTGGTAGCCAAACATTGGCTTCGCTTGCGCTTTCAGGATCCCAAATTGTTTTTTTAGTTTTTTTTAATGAACTTAGCTTTTCTTTTCTTTTTCTTTTTCTTTTTTTTTTTTCTTGAAGACCAACAAAGGAATTGGTAAGGGATCAAAATTAAATTATGAATCTTTTTCTGTTTGGTCATCTTAGTAGATAATGTTTGTTTGCGAATTACATAGAATGTTAATTTTTTTTTATTTTTATTTTTATTTTTATTTTTTTTTTTGTGTAGTGGTGGCTTTTTGTTTTTTGGAAATTATGTAGTGTTGACATTTTCCTAATTTCTGCATTCTTTTTCTGTGCAGAAGGCTAATAGAGCATCCCGGGAACAGGTATTCCTAGTTTTACTGATTGCATTCTAGAGGCTTTATTTAGCTTTATGGTAATTTCTTTATATTTCTCTATTTTCATGGTTGTTATGATCCATTAGGACTTCTGGTTTTGGTGATTTTTCTTTCAATAGATAGGATGATAAGATTCTGAAATGTTGCTTCATATCATTTTAGAAATCCTAAAACCTTAATATGCTATGTTTTATAGTGACATTTCAGATTATCGAATGTAGTTGTATATCATATTTTTCTAATTATAGGTTTAAATTGTGTATTCAAAATTAGAAAAAGAAAAGGCTTATTTAATTCTGGGTCACTAGTAATGACAGGGAGGTTCCTTACTCTTCTTCTCATCCTTCCAATACCCTCTTGTTTCTCTTTCATCAGTCCCTGGGTCTGCCGGGATAAATCCTTGGTCATGCATCTGTGGTTTTCACTTTTCAGGGAAAAGTAAAATGAATAATTCATACATTTCATTCTAAGTTATGTTTCTTTCGTCAAAATTTTTTTTTTCCTGATTATAATACTTGATGCTTTGTGTCAATGGGTGCTTTCTTACCAATGTTCCGGTATAATTTTCAATTGTCACTGTTGCATTGCCATTTAGGCAAAATTTTGGTGCAGAATATTAGCTAAAGGGCACAAAATTTTGAGTTATATTTCAAAAGAAATTACTCCCTGATCTTGCATCATCAAACAAGTTGGCCTGATGTAAAGTAATTTTAGTTATATACAACTTTGCCTTGTATATTGAAGCTTCTTTCACATAACTTCAGTGGAGACTTCTCTCATGTCCTAGTCAAAATCAGCATTTGAAATTCTATTCCTGCCATAGCCGAAAAAAGTACAAATTTTCATAATTTAAGTTGAAGGTTCTAATTTCATGTTTCAGCTCAAGGGCCAGAACCAATTAGAAAAACCCAGCTTCTTTTATTTTATTTTTTTCTTTAAGTTACATCTCTAATTGTTAATTGACCCATAGCATGCACTTTCCTCAAACTGTTTAGATTCTTTAATGATAAGAACTGTCTTCTGTCTTCCACCTGATGTTTGTTTATTTCTGTTGGTGGCTGGTGTGCGGGGCAAGGCTGGTTCCCAACATTCTACATTATATTAATATTTTCAGAAACTAAACTTCATTGCCTGTTAATGTAATTCAGGGATCACTGTAGTTTCACTTCAGTCTGTTTTTTCTTGTTGCAGTAATTTCTCATTCTAGTTTAGAAATGGATCTGTGGAGCATTAAAGAAGCATTTGATCATGTTGCTAAGAGGCAGAAATTATCCACCTCCAAATCCCAAGAAGTAATTGATCAAGTTCGCCAGGAAATTGAGAAGACATTAGCTAGAATCCAGTCTGTTGACAATCTCATGTCTCCTGTTGATATGAAATCCATACTGACAGAGCTAAAACTTAAGCTTAATAGCATTGGTCCACTCCAACAGTTAGAAGAGTCACAGAAGGAACTGATTACTAGCCTCACCAAGTATCCCAAATTTGTTGGGAAAATTTTCCCTGATATCTCCAAAACAAGTAGAAATGTTGACTTTGATATCCACACTGTAAATCACATCATTGCATGCCATTTTTACCGGCAAGGCATGTTTGATCTTGGAGATTGTCTGTTAAATGAAGCAGGAGAGCCAGAGGTGACCGGAACAAGATCTCACTTCTCAGAAATGCATCAAGTACTTGAAGGTTTGAGGGATAGGAACCTTGAGCCTGCGCTTAACTGGATTACTGCCAATCATGAAATACTCAAGCAAAATGGTTCAACCCTTGAACTAAAACTCCATACTCTTCAGTTTGTGGAGTTTATTCGAAAAGGAAGTAGGATTGATGCACTTGATTATGCCAGAACTTACCTTGCTCCTTTGGCCTTCCTACACATGAAAGATGTCCAGAAGCTTATGGTTTGCCTCCTATATGTAGGAAAGCTTGATAGCTGTCCATATGCTGATCTAATAGCTCCAACTAATTGGCAAAAATTTACCAAGGAGCTGACCCAGCAGTTTTGCAGTCTCATAGGGCAGTCTATTCGAAGCCCATTTGCTGTAACCATAGCAGCTGGGATTGAAGGGTTGCCTACACTATTGAAGCTGGCAAATGTAATGGCTGCAAAGAAGCACGAATGGCAAGAATGGCAAAAAATGAAACAGTTGCCTGTCCCTGTGGAACTGGGAAGTGAATTTCAGTTCCATTCTGTATTTGTCTGTCCAGTTAGTAGAGATCAAGCTAGTGAAGAGAACCCACCAATGCTGATGCCTTGTCTACATGTTCTCTGCAAGCAGTCTATGATGAAGCTATCGAAAAGCAGCTCTCGGGAATTCAAATGTCCTTACTGCCCAGCTGAGGCTTCTGCTGCACAGTGCAGGCAACTCTACTTCTGATATTCATTTATATTCCTTCTCATGAAACAAGACCAAGTAATCTGTTTCTAGGCTGTCAAACCAGTTTCAGTGTCTGCGCCTTGCTTCAATCATTTATCAACTACATGTGTATAAATATTCTTTATACATCAGTCAATTGCATAATCCATTTAGTCAGAGTGCAATTCTTTTCCAACAATTCCAATGTCCAGGGAAGAACACATTAATCATATACTACATGAATGAATAACAATCCAGTATCCATGACCAATAAAAACCGAAAATATTATTGAAAAAATCAACATAATCATCATTGTTACAGAAACTATGGAAAACCTTAATCTAAAATCTACTTATTCTGGGAAAACCCCATTATTCTCTTCAATGCAGGGAAGAAAACTGAAGGAGAAGAGTTTGATGATGGCGGTTTCTCCTCACGCAGATACTCTTCCACCATTTCCTTAACAGACCTCGCTGATAAAGGGTGAAAATTAACACCCCATTCATTGACAAACTCTGTAGTCAATACCCATTTCTCCTCTTCGTTCATCTTCCCCCATTTCACCTTCACTTCCTCTTCTCCCACAGACAAGAACTGGCACAACTCAGCAAACAGCAATCCCCTGCTCTTTTTCATGGCTTCCTCCTTCTGCACCAGCTGGGTTTTTATCTTCGCCACCTCCGCCGCCAAATTGGATGCAAGTTCTGCATCTCCGAGGTTGTTTTTGGAGCACAGGATGGGGATTTTGGGTCTTCTATTGGTTAGCGTTAAGATGGGGAGGAGGGAGGAATGGTTCCAGAATCTCGGCGGCTGCGGGAGGGTAAAAACATGGATCTTCAAAGCCATCTGAATGATGGGTTTGGTTAAGATTTTCGTAAAGTTTCAGGCTGATTCGGTTGTTCTGAACTCTTGAGGTTCAGCGAGGAAGGAGAAGAGAGCAGAGAAACCTGTCTGGTTTTTAGGGCTTGGTGATTGGCGAATGACTGTATTCTCCCTTAACCAGATTGTTAATAGTCTGACTGGATATAAAAATTCAACTTGTTCTCTACTTTCTAATTTGGTTTCCAGGGAAATTTTCACTGACCATATAATAATGATTTTTTTTTTTTTTTTTGGCCTATGACCATACAATAATGATTATAAAATAAAGAAATGTACTTGATGATATAAAAAATAAAAAATAAAATAAAATAAACTTAAAAAACACCACAAAAACCTTTGATAGAATTGTGGACACATTTCCTCAAAACAGAAAGTGCATAAGAAATCTGCCCAACTAGAAATCTTTTTCCACAAGATTTTGGTCACGACATCTAGTTTGCACACTACAGCATAATCTGTTACTAAACCAGATGCTCGAGGTATAAGAAAGGAACATTGATGTATAAAGAAATAAATGAATTAATACAAAAAGAGTATTTCTTTCTACAAATCCGTATTGAATAGAGTGGAAGCATAATGTGAATTCTGGTTCACCTTCCAGCGCCTGATTTCACAGAACAACAGCAAACATAAAAATTTGATCCTTGCTGCATTCATATATTTTCTAAATTTCTGATGCCATATTTCTACACCTTCATTTAGCTTCTGCTTCTGAAGAGGTTGCTCTGTAGCCTCTCTAATTTATTTATTTACTTTTTTTTTGGAACAGCTTGGAAAGATTCGTCTCACATTTCATCATCCTGTCATCCTGTACCTAACCTTTTCTGGATCAGCTGAGCTCGTATATCAATCCATGTGTCAGGAACACCAGGTAGGCACCAGTGCATGCAGTCTTGACCCCAGATGGACACAGCGTCCTTTTTTCCCCGCCAAATTGCTGGGTGGGCATCTGCTCTGAACTCACTCAAATGAGTTAGATCAAGCAATTGAATATCTGTGTCCTCCAATGCTTGTGTTATCAGATTGTTAACTTGCCTCGCCTCTTTATTCACTCCATTGTTGCTGGGATCAAACCAAAAGTCACGCTATCCAGGTATCAGCATTAAACCATCCTTAAAAATTTCCAAGTTAAAGATTTAAGTCTGATTGTTTGACATGCACCAAAAAGTCAACCTATCCAGTTCTTCACAAGATACATAATGTATTTCCTTGCAAAACCAAAGTCATGATTGTCTGATTGGAATTTGAAATTTTTTTTTGAAGAGTATTGTTCATGCCAGTAAAATTAGAAAAAGAATTGAAAATCAAATTAAACTAGGATTAGATGTTAATACCAAAGTTGATATTGCAATAGAAGAGTGAATAGAAATCATCAATTCCTACCTCAGCTTCCTCAAGGGGCTTATCAAACAAGCAACTGCCATTTTGGTTCCACTCACCACCATCAAAATGCCTAGGTGATTGCAAGTACCAGAGCTTGATAGTATTGCTAGGAACTGCCTTTTGAATGTACTGGACCATACTTTCAAGAACAACTTTAAGCCCATCTGTTATCCCCAGGCGAGGACTAATTGTTTGCCCACCACAATAAAAGACAAGAGGTGTCTCCATTGGGAATTTATCATAGCCCCACCTAATCAAGAGCAAATCTGTGTTATTGAGGATGTTCTAAACCATTTTCAAGTGAATATTTGTAACTGGATTCAAGTATCATTACAAAGCAGTGAACTTTCTACTTCTCCAACCCACCCCATCCCAAACCCCACCCCCCCAAAAAAAAAAGGAAAAGAGGAAAAACTTTTATGAGCACACATGTCAGTTGCTGGTTTATTTCCGTCTTCATGTCAAACATAATGGCTATGAACACCAAATCATGGCCAGTTAAGCTAGGTGTTTTTTTTTTTTTATTATTATTATTAATTTTAAAAGAAAAAACAAAAAAGTCTTTGAGGTTCACTAATTTGCAGAACTGAGGTGCTAGTAAAATCAGGGCTATAGTTGACCATCT